ATTCGCTCGTGGGCCGCATAGGTCTGCTGAACAAAGACTTGGGTGGGTCCACCTGGCCCAAGCGCTAAAATCGCAAAGGGCGGCGTCGGCCCAGAATGAGGTATTTTCCGAATTAGAAGAACAAGAGGAATATCTTCTGCTCCCAGACCATCACACAGCCTCGACCAATCAGAGAGAGCCTCTCTCGGCCTCTCTCGTGGCCGGCTCCAGAAAGGCCGTCTCTGATTGGCTGAGGCTTTGTGATGGTCCGGGAGCAGACGATCTCCTCTTGTTCTTCTAATTCGGAAAATACCTCATTCAGACCCAAACGGCGACTCTACCTCCTGGCTCTTTGATATCGCTGCTAGGTTTGAACTGTGAGTCGGGGGTTCTAATACTGGACGAGCCGTCAAATTATTCGTTTTTATGTTTGAATTTTTACGCATTGTACGAGAAGCTCGACTAGTCGGCAACCCGCGCTGGGGTTCGAGTTCCACCTGGGACCCGGCCGGCCCGCCCTTTTTCTATCTCTTTTTATTTCCCTCGCCGCGTTATCGTCAGCCTGCGTTCTAGTCGGTGTGTGACGAGTGCGGTCTCTCAGCCGAGTGCGTACAAGTGTCGGGGCGAGGACTCCCGGGCCATGCGTTCAAGCCCTGCCACCGGCGCCCTCGACGAATTTGCCGAGTTCAGGCAGCTCTCATAGCGAGCGCCTGGCAGGTAGTGTTATAGGAGGCGACATAGGGCCCAAAGACTAGGCATATCCCCACACCTGCGCCAGATCATATTTGACACCGTCTGGTATGGCGGACGCTGGCCCCGCTGGCCACGCTGGCCCTGCTGGCCGCGCTGATCGGCGCTGCCCGCGCCGGCCGCTCTGGCCGTCGCTAGCCGCGCTGCCAGCCAATGCCCCCAGCAGGTGATGGCCAAAGGCGGGTGGCTCAAATGACATCCGCCCGGCGCGGATCGGCGGGAGGATGCTCTGATCGTGGGAATGCAACCCCAGCAAATCAGCCCTCCACGCTGGACGCTCCCGATGGCATAAATAGAGGTGCAGGGCAGGCCAGAGCTCAGTCGTCTCGGAGGAGCGCTAGGAGGATGAGTGTAGAGAGGAACCACTGAACCACTGTATCATGTCGTAGCTTCAATA